ATCAAAGGTGTCAGGGAGTTTATATCCTCCAGCGTCTCTACTAAGTGATGGCTGGATTGCCCTGATATACATGGCCTCCTTTATACCTCTTACAACGTAGTTCTGCTCAATGACCAGTATTCTAACTTTGTCCTATGAGACGGTATGGTCCGATAATTCGATGTGGATGTAGATGTGTTTCAAACGTCCAACGATAACGAGATGCGTTTCTGTTCAAAAATCCAGTCCGCAAATAGCGTCTTGTATTTTACAGTTACATTTCTTTCTTTTTCATGTTGGTATAATATCTGTACTTGTTGGTCATGTACTACCAGTTTAGACCCGTAATATGTTCCAATAAAGTAAAGTACACCACGCACGCCACACTTCTCTTCTCTAGAAGTTTCTCAACACATCCGAAAAAGGTGACGGTGGTCATTGAAAATTTGATGTCCCTTACTCGCTGTGTTACTTACAATGGTCACTACCAACACATGTGAACTTTCATGATAATTTAATAACTAGGAATTTTTTTATTACCATTCAGCAGCTCAGGTACTTTTTGAAGCCAAAGTAAAAAAATATAACCATGTATTGTAACTGTTACAAATCATACCAGTGTAACTTCCTAGTAGTATGCCGTTGAATCCAAGATCACCGTCGTAGACTCTTAAGTAGTCACGCGATCTTTCAAGGATAAAAATCTTAGGTTTAAGCCTTATATATCCTCTTGGGTTGACCACTATTGTCCACGTACAGACCAGGTTGTTGTCGTAGGATCCAGGATGGTTTGGGGATAAAATCTCCCCAGATTGCCCTGATCTGTAGCCACCACATTCATCTAGATGTAAAAAAATAGGTAAGAATGTATTGATTTAATTATATGCATATGAATGTATATAATTAAAAGGATATGCATATTACGAGTAAAGATATTCTCGTAACCTATAAAGGATTTGTGACATACAACACATATACCGTTGAAATGTGACTTATTGAAGAACAGTTACTGTAGTAAAATTTCCTATTTATACAATTGGTATAGCGATACAAACGTCTTATTTCAGCTCGAACACACTCATCGTCACTTAAGTTTTTAAAAAGATGCCAAGATATAGTATCCACATATTTTAACTGTACCTTGTAAAGCTAAGTCAGAAATTGGTTTCGGATATTTCTTAAGTTTTCCAAGATGTTGCAGTGCAAGTAATATGTTTGTTCACCAAACTACTGACACATTTAATACCAGACGCAGAAAATTATGCTACCCCTTTATTTTTTGATAGGCTAAACAGCACCAACAACAGCATTCTTCTGAGGTCAGATTGTCAGTACAGAAATTGATTCTTTTGTTTAAAATGTATATAAGATGCTGCATGTATAGTTTGTGTTTCTATGTCTGCACCGTTGTTTTCTATGGGTGAAATATCTGGAATAATTCATTCATTTTCACCACGGTAAATTATTTTTAATTACATGAAACTTTGGGTCGTGATACAATATTTTGAATCGGAGAAAGCGCCAACAGATGAATCCAATTTCTATTTATGCTATACCGTTATACGGGATATCGTAAGAACTTAATAGATTAGGTCGTCATAAAATTTATGTGTTTGTTATTCTTTCATTTCGCGATCGCTTGTCGTAGTTTCAAAGTGAAAAACGTTTGAGAATGATTTTTGTTGTTTGCGTAATTATCAAAATTAGAGAGGCATCATAAATTTTCTTAGAATAACACATAAGCAGAGAAACTTTAATTCATAACAAGAGTGAAAAACGATACCTTTTAATTGTTCTAGACACCTTGATATCATTTAAGGGTTCAATTGGTTTTAAAACAGGGCATTGGTGCCAAAATGTACATTTTTTGGTAAAAATACTGTCAACAATCCGAAACGTAAACAAAATTGTTGAAACTTTGTTGCTCAAAACACTTAATCGGAATACATTCATTCTAAAAGGCAAAAATGGCTTACTTTGAGCAGAGTCGTTAAGTGTTCGACTTATGTAGTCGAACTTGAACCCTCTTTGTGGTAAATCCTTGTCAGATGTAAATCTCAGGAACATCGTGTTAGATGTGCTGGGAACATTTATGACAGTATCTCGACCTGTTATCCTAGAAATCAATGAACACATTAAATTTGTTGTTTGATTTGCAAGCTTATTTCCCAGAAAAGCAGCCTTCCAGGACATGTTGTTGTACGAGTTGCTAAACTGATTTTGTTTCATTGAACAATCAATGCTTGACATTACCTTCAGAGCCAAATTTCAGGTCGCCACAGTTATGAAAACTAATCGTCCTGTACATTATCTAAATTTATAAAACCTGTAAGCACGTAACATAATCAATACAAAGAGTGAGTGACAATTGTATAGCCTTTGAAAAAATTGAGAACTATCAGTAATCATTTGCAGAAAGGAACATAAATTTAGTGGTTTTAGTTTTAGTCGTTTGATGTTGGATCAGCTGACATAATCTGACGTTAGATTTTTTTATGTTAACAAGGCCATTAACAATACCCTAAATTTATAAAATATATAAAGGACACATACATGTAGGTCTTTGCAGCATCCACTACAGATTTTTGTTGATTTGGGAATTTCAAGTCATCTTGCACTACAAGAGTGTCAAAATCAAAACACCTCACGCATTGTCTGTACTAAGTTTATCTAACTGACTTGTTTAAATACGACTGTATATTCATGCAAGCCGGATTGATGGAAGATATTACAGGGCGAAAAATACCGTAAAAGCGTGTGTTAGTCGACGATAAATTTTGTTGGTAAATTACCTGTGTAACTCCACAGCGCTATCACTGGCTCCATCGTATATGCTGAAAAAGTCGCTTCCTTCCTCAAGATATGGACCCTCTTGAAACGTGAGGAGTATCGTATTTCCTGCTGGGACGGTGATTAACCACTCACAGTTTTCGTTGTTGCCATAGGGACTAGGGTAGTTCGGGGATGTTATAGGACCTCCAGAAGGTGCCGTTAAGTTTCCCCCGCACCTAGTGGGACTTGCCGGTGCCACTAAGGAATAGAGAACCTCATTATTAAAATTATGTCATAAAATCTCATTAACGAAACGAAAGACAATTGAGAAAAATTAATCACACATATCTTCATCTCATGCTATTGCAAATGTTCGTGGTAGTTCCCGTAAAAGTCAATGTATTGACCTGACAGCACTACGAATTTGTAAGAATTGTCAAAATCCCCTGTCTGCACTTTATTTACCTGCAAGTTCACATGTTGATTTCAATGGTGTTTATGTTGACACATCCGGCATATTAATTATGACATGAGTTTTTTTTTTCTACAAATTTTATTCTTCTACAAAACAAATATGATTTCATCTGCCACTTTTTAAGCAATCTTTGCCCGAACTTCGCTCGGCGTAATGTTATGCATTTACCATCCAGAGACAAAGGGCCTTATCGGAATGCTTAGTTAGTATACATCGTTCTTGATTTCATAGATGACTTTTTTGCCCTTTTTTCCGGTCTACTCGTATTAGCTCTGAATCCCTCCACATGTTCTGATTTTGTAAAACATTAATTAACTCATTATAATACCTTACAAGAATAAAAAAAATGAAAAATGAAATGTTGCTATCACATCCGCTGAGCAAATTATATTTGATGTCAAGGAAATATTCTATATAGAAATGCACCAAACTCACGGAACTGTTATCTACCCAATATGATATTCGTTATTCCTCACCTTACAGTTCAACACAGACGTTATCTTACCATATCCCTTGGTTTGTGCTGGCAGGTTAGCAAGTATCAATGTTGTTCTGATCAGGAATGTCCCAACCCTAAACATAGCTTGACCTGATGTCATGATGAAGGCCTCGTTAGGCACTATGGCTGTGCATCTAAATTAAAACAAAACACGTTATTAAATACATAGCTTACTATCTATCATAAGTGCATTTAGAGAGAGCAGGAGTGGAAGGCCTGTGGTCGATAGACAGATGCGGGCTACCTGGCAAGCTGAAAGTTTGGTGTCTGCAGATCTAGAATGTCCTGATACCAAGACTAAACTGACCAATAAGGATGTTTGAGATACCCCTCTAAACAGCTGACCTGACCAAGTTAAGGGAGAAACCAACTCATTTGTTGTTTGCGAGGAAATGGATGGGCGGTCGATGTCTGTCGAGGATTGCTTTAATAATTAGCTGGAAGAAATAATTTGACTCTTCCAATTATTTCCATTACCAAGCTACAGACTGATGAATACCAGCTGGACAACGTGCAAATGGCCTTCAACTGTTATTGCCAAGACAGTTAAAATAGCATACAGTAGAGCTCTAGAAAAAAGGGTACAGTGGAACCCGGAACAAGTAATAAACCAAGATGTCCGCAAGCTTAAGCATAGAAACATACTTGAGCAGTGCAGTATTCAACGAAGGGGTGGCCTGAGAGAACCCAGAGATGGGAGGGACCCATCGATCCAGAGAGATAGGAAGCAGCTTGTAACGGAAAAGCTCAAAAGAATGGAGGAAGAAAAGAGGGAAGCAATAAAGTGCAGTCAGGCTGAAACAGCAGGGATCATGGGACAACTGGGAAAGCAGTGTGGACAGGAAGCTGACCTGGAGAGAAATATGAGAGATATCAGTCAGATTTCTAAGTGGGGCGGTGTGTATGACATTCTCCCATGCACGGAATGTAAGCAGATGATAGTCAAGTCAAGTCAAAGTTTATTGCACAACGATTGTCACGGGTACAATGTATGGCAAATAATAGGATTACTAGTTGGTATGTGTCTAACATAATGCTATATATATGGTCAACGGACATTGTATCTGACAGAGTATTATAAATAGCTACTGGCTAGAGAATATTTCGACTCTACATGTACATTCTACATTACGCTAGACTATACATATGAAGGGTACAGTGAGCAGTTGTACCTAATTATACTAAACATGTTCTATGGCTACTAAGAGTCATGCCAGTTGATGGCTAACTTCAAGAACACCTTTTCAGCACGTACAAGAGGACAGATACATCTTGATTTACTTTAAAATTAAAAATTACATTAATTTGGCCTCCCAACCACTCGGCCATTGGACGCTAATGCGCAATGCCTGATTCTAGATACAATATAGAAAGCTTAATCCGGTCGAATTGGAGTGGCAGCTCCTAAAATATCATGGTCCAGCTATTTAGCTGATATCATTACATTGTATTGCTAAAAACAATAAGCTGGTGATGCTGATAACGACAACTCACCGTGTGCTGCAGCTGTCTTCCTCTCAGCGCCGCCCAACACGCCGTGTTTGATGCAACTCTGGGATAAAGACCGGGTGGTACAAACACGTCACACTGCTGAATCATTTAGTGTTTACTCCGCTCCCTCACAGAGACAGCACTGGGTGGTACGAACATGTACGTCACACTGCTGAATCATTTAGTGTTTACTCCGCTCCCTCACAGAGATAGCACTGGGCGGTACGAACATGCACGTCACTCTGCTAAATCATTTAGTGTTTACTCCGCTCCTTCACAGAGACAGCACTGGGTGGTACGAACATGTACGTCATTCTGCTGAATCATTTAGTGTTTACTCCGCTCCTTCACAGAGATAGCACTGGGTGGTACGAACATGCACGTCATCCTGCTAAATTTAGTGTTTACTCCGCTCCTTCACAGAGATAAGAACTGGGTGGTACGAACGCGCCACGCAGCTAAATCATTTAGTATTTCCCCTCGTTCCAAAGGGTTAGAAAAATGACGGACAGTCTCGCACACACCACGTTCACAGGATATCAGTTGTCAAGACATTCGTGTATCACTTGGGTAGAAGGGGATGGGGCAGTTGACATGACTCGCGGAACTAACAAACGCAGTGCCCCCAAAAGACTATTAAATATGCGGAATAAACAATGAAAATCCCTGTTTTGACAATCGTCACTATCAAAAGTCCCATCTGGCTATGTACTAAATGATATAGGAATTAAGGGTTACTGGGCGGCCCCGAGATCGCATATGGTGTCATAAGACATGTTCATTTTGTATGACCGCTGATAATATTCGATCACGTGAGCGCAGCAAACGGGACTGTCTAAGTGGCGAATTTAGGAAATCGTCGTCGTCAATCGTCGTCAGCAGAGGTGAAACATTATCCTTGTTTCTAGTAGCTACATTGCATACCTGTGCAATGGGACTTCGCTACAGCTCGCGTGTATAGATAGAGGTGATGATCACCATGTGGCTAAGACAAGACGGGGGTTCAGCTGGCCTCCATCTACTAGGTGATTTTTAATGAATCACAAACGTTTTTACTATTTAAAAATAGTAGTATTTAGACAACGTCCCACACGCCTATAGCTAGTATCGAGTCCAAATCTACTTCTATGAGATAAAGACTTCTAAGTCGCGTTAACTGGAAGAGATAAAAACTTCTAAGTCGCGTTAACTTCTAGGATATAAAGAATTCTAAGTCGCGTTTCCCATGGCGACAACGTCGTGGCTAATAGAACCTGTGACCCCTTGGTCTCGTGCTGGCATCCTAACCACTCGGCCTTTCGACGCTAATACGCCATTCTGGATACAATATATAAAGCTTAATCCGATCGCATTGGAGTGACAGTTTGTAGCTTCCTAAAATATCATGGTTCAGCTATTTAGCTGGTAACATTACCGCGTATTACTAAGAAAATTAAGCTGATAACACAGAATGTTCTAATTAAGAATGGGAAAGTTATCACATACAGATTGAAAACCAGCTATATTAATAACGTTAAACTTAACTCACCGCGCGCTGCAGCTGCCTCCCTCTCAGCGCCGCTCAACACATCGTGTTTGGTGGAACTCGGGGATAAAGACTGGGTGGTACAAACACGTCACACTGCTGAATCATTTTAGTGTTTTACTCCGCTCCTTCACAGAGACAGCACTGGGTGGTACGAACATGTACGTCATTCTGCTGAATCATTTAGTGTTTACTCCGCTCCCTCACAGAGACAGCACTGGGTGGTACGAACATGTACGTCATCCTGCTGAATCATTTAGTGTTTACCCCACTCCTTCACAGAGATAGCACTGGGTGGTACGAACATGTACGTCACTCTGCTAAATCATTTAGTGTTTACTCGTCTTCACATACATCGACTATTATCTTGTTTCGTAAAATGGGTAATGGATTAAATTTCGCTCGTAAAGACGGTTATTTTCGGGATTTCGGAGCGCCATATTAAAGCCAAAACGTCGTTGAGGTTTTGGCTACATATATTACCCGAATATATATATATATTCGACGACTAGAAATAAGATTAAAATATCGTGTTTTAGGGATTTTTCAA